CCATGGCAGAGACGACTCAGAAACCGCGCTTGACGACTAACGGCTTTACCAGTATCGCACCGATGTACAACGCTGAAGAGATGAAGACTTCTGAACCCCTTATGAAGGACGAGTATCGTATAGGACTGAATAATTAAGAATTGAGCGACATTAAACACAAGAAGATGACAAAGAACGACCCAGAATAACGCGACAAGAGAAGAGACGCTTATAGACTTTGACTTTAGCTATCTGTCTATTGCTTAGAGAACCGCTCATTGGACACTGTAACGGACGCTGTAACTCAAGGACGTTGAACTCTTTTCACAATCCCAACCCTATTGTTCAGTAATGTAATGTATTGCTTGCTTTTCCTATCGTTTTTTCTTACCGTTTTTTTTTTGTGATGTCGAATTGTATGTATGTAAGCGCCCAGATTTGTGTTTTGAACTGATATTTAGTGACGTTCGAGGTCCTTTATAACGATTTAAGCGCGCCTCAGTGGACAAGTATTTGCAACACAGTGTTTTGAGTTTTGTGAAGTTTTATGGTGTTTTTATGAGTTTATGAGTAAGGGATATGATGGGGAAAGTAATGCCGCAACGAGTTTTTCAGAGTTTTGAGATTTGTCGAGTACAGAGATATCGACGTTTTAAGAGTTGTTTTTGTTTACGTGTTGTTTCCGGAATACTTTTGACGCTTTTTGAGTTAAGAGCACCTTTGTAACGTTTTTAATCTCTTTTTGAAGTGAGTATGGTGCGCTTATATACGTATTGTTTGATAGCGCAAGCTTTTGTTCATTATTGACAGGTTTATATGTAACTCAGTGGTTTATATCGTTTTAGTCTTTTCCCCGTCTTTTTGCCAGAGGAGTAATGTGTTATGATAGCTTTGTCTTTGCATTCTGTTTCCACGCCGTATGACTTGTGTTTAGATTAACGACTTGTAAGTTCAGTTGAAGTTTATAAGCGTATATGACAGGAGTTTGATTAATAGCTTTTTTTATTCATTGTTTATTAGTTGCCGCTTTGCAATGCTTTAACCGAGAGACACATCCCTGGTAATCACGTGATCATGCTGTCAACTGCATCGATTGGCTGATCGCTTGGTTACACCGCCACGCCTTAGTTTTTTTGACCTTTTGATATAGAGTTTGTAACCTTAGTAACGGAGACAGTGCAGCGAAGGGTTACCTCAGTGAACCGTTTTGAGAAAAGCGAGCCTATTGGTAGCCTTTCCCTTGTTTTTGATTTATAACCATTGATATTTGTGACATTATAACCATTGTATTTAGACTTTATAATCATTGTACTTAATTAGTGTGTTTTACTCTTTTTGATTTATTCCTTTTCTTAGTATTGTATTTAACCTGTATGACGATGAG